GCCGCAACCCGAATAAAGCGCGTCGAGCTTTTCTCCAAAGCTTGAAGAGGTCAGTGCAATGAGGTATGAATCGCACCCTCCGGCGAGAACGCCTGTGTTGTTTGCGCTTGTGCAGTGTTGAGTGATTCCACGTATGTGTTGCACGCTATATGTGTGTGATCTATCTCCGATAGGCGCCAGTAAATAGGGTGGGTATCTGACGTCCAGCATTCGAGTATCTTTCCCTCACTGTCAGATAATCCAGACTCTTTCAGAGCTGAAAAGCCACCTATGCGCATTGAGTGGCCGGAGTATTGCCTTGACCAAGTGCTTGAACTTGCGTGACCACTCGGCTTTCGTAACTGCTAAACTTTCCCGGTTATTGCGCAATAAGCCACGCTCAGCCTGCCAGCGCTTAATTTCTTTTCGAAGGAGTATCGGCGCCATCCATCGTGTACATTCGACGCACGCCAGACATGTATGAGGCCACGGATTCGAGTTGATGACCATGCATGCCCAGCCAGCCGATGAACAACAGCCACAAGTCTTCGCCTGCCGGCAGGTTGCTTGCAAGGATCTCCACCGAAAATATCAGACCTTCAAGTGCCATTGGACGGTATTGCTACTGGCGCGAGTTCGAGCTGCTGTGGCTAGTTGAAAGACTTCCTGTAGAAAGTGACGTACTGGTGCGCCTGTCATCGTAGGTGTGAACGCGGTCGGGAGACTGATATCCGATGCAAATAGCAGAAAGATGGGGCGACCTACGCAAAGGGTGTAAGTTAAGCATAACCGCGATTAGTGCTATGTACAACATTTTATTAAATACACGATAAAGTGCTATTTACAATACTACTCCGTGTTGAGTTGCGAACGTGGCTTCTTGTAGTCGTGCACGGTGACCGAGCGTTATTGGGCACAGATGCATAAGGCGTAGGGAACATTGCTCTTGCATCATTCAGCCGATCGCGGGATATGTAGTCAGCGATCTCGTTGTTAACCTCTGGTACATGTTCGCAGGCGATCTCAAATGCTTCAATCTCCGTCAACATCCGCAGAAGACCGAGCATTTCTGTGACTGGGCTGGTGAGCGACTTTAAATTCGCAACGGCCCCTTCATTGTCAAATAGAACCAATACACTTCGACCTTTTCACATTGATACAAATTTATCAGCCATGTTAAAAATCGCCAACATTTCCAGCGCGGTTATGGTGAACAGTTTACCCTCTTTGGCGATGGGGTAATGATTGTGCTGTTGACGTTTCAGAAGTACCACTCTCCTGTGGACATGAAATCTTCTGCCCCTACAGAGGTACATGCATCTGCGGCGACCGTGATCGTCAGGGCAGGACGGCCGAGAAGAGATATGCCAGTCCATCTGTTGATAATACGGATCCAGGAACGGATATCTTGGCGCACTTCTTGAGAAACTCTAATGTGTTTGTAGTGAGAAGGGTTATTGCACAACAGCCAGAAAATTCGAGTAGAGTATGGTCGTGCTTAAGAAATATAGCACAAAGCCAAATGAGGGCGAGGCAATTTCATGTACGGTTACGGTTTTGCGCGAGCGACATGCATGTATAAGTGACTTGTAAGGGCGCAACTTCTGTGCGCTAAGACCGGTGCGCGCCAAGATATCTATAAGTTGTATTCGGTGAAGGTAATTAAAGTAACCGATTTTTCAAAGGCGATCGGAATGCCCAAGAAGCAAATAGTGCGCAGATATTGGCTGCTTCCCATATGTCCATGCCTGGCCTGTGGATAGCCAAGAAATCGTCAACAAAGCGGCGAAGGTCCAGGCCCGTAGAGAAAAAGATAAAATCTAGTGCGGAGCCCAGGCGCTCAAACAGCTGTGGACTGCTGTATAGGTCAAACTCAAATCCGAATCCAACCAGCTGTTTGTCTTGCGGCCGAATTCGAATTAAGCACCGCTGATTGAGTGCCGCAGCTACATCATCAAGTACTTTGCGGAGCTTGACATAGCTGAGTTCTCTGGAGGCTATCTTAGAGTTGATACTCGAGTGACGAGGGTAGGATAAGTGGAGAATCCAACGGCGCTTAAGAAAGCCGTCGGATCCTATTTTGGATAATACCCCGATCAGGGATAAGTAGTATTTTAGGTATTTACGTACTTCTGCTGTCGGTATATATGGCCGATAAGTACGGTTTGTTCCAGTTCGGTTGCAACTGAGGCTTGTAGCCATGGTATGTGCTCGCTATGTAATAAGCCGAGCCTCAACATTAGACTCTATGTTATAAACGTACTCTTAAGCAGTACGCAACTTATAAACGTACCCTTAATAGTACGAGGAACTTAAGTTTCCTAAATGTACTCTTAATAGTACCAGGAACTTAAGTCTCCTAAAATGGGTTTTAATGGTTTTATTAATTAGACCTTTTCCATTTAACATATCAGATATTTGGATGAGGCTATTAAAAGGCCTCAGTAAAATACCAAACAAAAAAAGAGTTGGTCTAGTTATATTAATAGAGCTTTATTTACTTTCCAATTTTATTTATATCTGAATACTTCGGTAGCGAGATGGCTCAACCGAATATAGGTTTCTAGGGACTATTAACGTTACCTAGTTGATCTTCCGATAAGCCAACCAGATGTGCCAGTCTGATGAAGGCTAAGTCGGTAATTCTTGATAGTGGCAAGTTATTGGTTAAGACAATAACTAAGGACGTCAAGAGTATTTTTGTTTTTATTTATTTATTTATTCTAAAGATAGGATTTAATGAGTCTCTCGGATTCACCCCAGAATAGAGCGACAACGAAACACTAAATAAAATCCCTTCGGCGGAAACAGTACTGAGAGGATTATATATAGGCAATGTCTCAGCCTCACAATCCCTCAGAGTATTGCTGTTTTCACGAGGCAAACCTAACTTTATTAAGCGTCTCATTTCGATTATTTATATTGATATTTACACGATATTTAGAATTTACCTACGCGTTTGTTTGTTCTAAGGCATTAGTATCGCCTTTATTAGACCGAATCTTACACATTTTAAAGTTAGCAAAAGTATTAATTACTTAGACTACTTAAGCGTAAAGGTAAGTTAACTACCACAACATTTTTTTCTCTTGTCTAAGCTAGTCGTTAAGAGACAAGCTAGTAGTCATAAGTTAAGATTATGACCAAGAAAGACAACACTCCTTCTAAGAATGAAGATTGAGAGAGAAGTCGCTAGCGCTGCCGCAGCTATTACTGCTGCACAAGCAACCGACGCCGCTACTGATGCATTTAAGCGCACTGTAGCCAAAGTACTTGCCTCTGACAATTATAGTCAAAAGGACAATGCTTCAGATAAGGAAGTAACCACTCCGCTTAAGGAGACTACTCCTGCTGACAGAGCCAACTATTGCCTCAACTTCAAAGCTTGCAATAACGAAGCCAAGAAGTGAGACAAGGGATACGTCTCAAGACGCCCCATCCCATTCTTCTGACAAAAATCAGAAAGGAAAGTCCCCAATTATGAGGGCGTCCCCAATTATAGGGGACAAGGACAAATCTCAGAAGGAACCTATTATGGAACCAGAAGAGAAGGCAAGCTCAAGTAGCAAAACCGAATCTACGTCCGAGACTTCTAAGCCGAAGCACAGAAGTAAGTTAATTACTAAATACGCTGATCTTAAGAATCAGTTAGCTACTATTATGAAAGACTTGACTGTCGATCATGTAGATCAACTAGATAGATCAGGAAAACATACACAGCGCTTACGCGAGCATGTTTCCACGGGCATTACTGAAGCCCTACAGAAGTGGACAGAACGTCGACAGGCAATTACGCCCAAAGACTCAAGCTCGACACCTGAATCATATGATCCAAAGGTGCACAGCGTCGATATACCGTACGAGGCATTACTGCCAGAAGAACAGGCTAATCATTCGCCTGTTCTGACACCCGGCCGTGAGTCACCTGTCCTCAAAGGTATTATAGACCGAGAGGTAAGGAGATATACTCCGCCACTTGTACTCAATTGGGAGGATAATCGTCGGAAACCAGTTAAGACTGGGTATGTTATTCCGACGCCAAGGGATATTAATCATCCCCGCAGACGTGTGAACGATGTCGAGTTTAATCGCTTCGACCGCACGGCTTTACACCAAACCGCAGAGGATTTCCACTCTGACGAGGTGACCGACCTTAATAAATCGGTCGACGACTATACCAATAAAATGGAAGTCGCCCATACTGCGCATCATGCTGATGACGTAGCATACTATGCGAATATTATTGCGATTAAGCAAAAGCGCATAGACCAATTACTTCAGGCCCAACGTGGACAAGACCACAGGGACAACCAGAAGTATAAGGGACAGATCAGTCGACTTAATGAACTGGGATGCCAACAGCAATCAGGTCGAGTTTATTAACAACCATGACCTCGACACGCTAACTCGTACGCTTAATGCGTTTACGGTCATGCTGGAGACGAATGATATCGCTCCCCAGCAATTGATCTCTGCCTGAATGCAGACATTTGACCCTACAGGTATCAGTTATCTGATCCTGCAGCGACACCAGCATGAGCTAGACACTTGTCGTGACTGGCCAGCTGTGTGTTGGTTGGTCACATCCTTGTTAAGTAAGGATATGCATAACCCTGGGCTGAGTTCAATTTTAAATGAACCAGCCGAGAACACGCCCATTCAGAGTTATATTCTAAAGCTAGACGCTGACCTGAAACGTCCCGATATAACAAAGGACAAGGCACAGCGATGGTACGAATTCCTGGTTATGCACGTGTTTGGTAAGAACATAGGGAATAACAACCGTGAGAGTCTGCACACCGAGTTGCGACGTAAACACGCGACTGAGGCTCGAGACAAGGGACATGAAACAAAGTTTCATCTATCCCGACTTACATGGGAACAGTTTTATGATACTGTATCCACTCTTTTTCCCGCACATCGAGTAACATCGAAGGGAAAAGCGGCTGTTAAGACGCCGCGGGAGCTCACCGATCACGGGTACGTATCCAGGCAGACCTCAAACGAGAGACCCCAACATACACGTGCTCGCGAATCCAAAACGGGCACGCGCAGGAGCGAAGGACATGGAACCTCCATTTAAGGAGATTAAGAAATGTGCCGACGCCCAGTGTGGATATGACAAGTATCAGTTAACCCCTAACGGTTATTGGAATGGTAGACATGCATCCACCTGTACACACTTTCTTACTAAGTGTGAGAAGTGTGAGAAGACCAATGGTTATCACACTAAGTCTTGTGACCGAAAGCCCAGCATTAAGTTGGAGTGACGGTACTACCAGGTACAATCATTACACATACAATACAACGACTCTTTAGATGAGCGTGTAATAATCCCTGTATATTGCAATGGAAATAAAATCCTTGCGTTGATTGATCCTAGTTCAGAAATTTCATGTATATCCGATCGCTTTGCATTAATGAAAGATATCGAAAGGAGAAAACAAACAACTCATCTCATTTTAGCTGATGATAAAACTGCTAAGTGTGATACCATGGCCACAGATGTTAAAATCTCCCTGGCCGATGATAGGAGTATTACTACTCAAGCTGT